TCATATTTACTTAGGCATCAAATTTTTAATGATTTTTCTTTTATAGTGTCTCTCATGTCCACATATCTTCTGTCTCTTTTAACTCTATTGTCTAATTCTGGTCATTTTTTATTCCTTAATAATCACCTCCTAACAAGACCCCTCCTCCAGCCTGTCCCCTTACAACCCATTCTGTCTACCACAATAAGGTTACTCTTCCTAAAAACCCCAGTTGATCTTGTCACTCCCTTTCTCACAAACTTTCATTGACTTTCTGTCATCAGTAAGAGAAAATTCAAATTCCTTAATATTATAAGATTCATAATATATCTACTCTAGCATTCTCTCCAGCCAAACTGATCTATTTGCATCCAGGAACCTACTTTTCTCTCTCCCAGCCTTGCTTCATCGCCTGCAATTGTATTGGAAGTGTGTGGAGGATGAAAGATACATTTATAGAAATATTTTGAAATGTAAGACAAGAAGGGCTTAGTATCCTGGCCAAGTCTCAGATGGGACCCTATTGAATATACCTAGCTAACCTGCCATGCTAGTGGGCTCCAATCACAGATCTAACATCTAGGGAAGAGAAGGAAAAAAGAAAAGAAGAGGAAATGAGGGAAGAAAGAGGAAATAAAAGAAAAAGATGCATAGGAGTTAGCCAGGAGTGATGCAAATATCAGAGTTCTAAATAACAGTCTTTATAAACTTAAAAGCGATTATCCTCTTGTCTCTGAGCTTTTCAAGGGTAGAAACCAGATCTTGATTCTCTCTGTCTCCCAGCACTGAGCAAAGCCTGGGACATAGATGCTGCTCAGTAAGCAATTTTTAAATCACTTGTCAGCAATTGACTTGTCTTCTTCAACTAAAAGATCTCAATTCCTTCACTATTCCCTCAGGTTGTGTTTTGTAATTGTAAAAATTTCTTTTGCTTTTCAGATACTTTTTCCAAGATGTCCAGAACAATATTGAAGGAAAAAACATAGAACTCGAAAGAGTGTTTAAAATATGGTATATAATGGGGAAAATTGATTTACTCCACCATAGTCTTATTTTTTAGTACATTTTCAGAACCGTACTTGACTTTCTGTCTCATTTCCAGCTTATGAGCAACTTTAACCATTAACTCATTCCAGCAACAATTATTCACTGCTAGTCACTGCCCTTGCTATGCCGATATAATGTTTTCCCTCTTAATAAATGTATTACTCTGTGCTAGTTGCTAATGAAGTTCATTCTTTTTGCCTCCACCTCTTCTCCATCTTGCCAGACCATTTGGAATTCTAATCCTGTCCTGGATGCTAGCCCTCCTAACTGACGATGGGTGTCATCTGCTAACAGCATGTATCATCTGTCAGCTTTAGGAGCTTATTTTCTGTTCTATCCATGTAAATCATTGATGAAATATTAAAGAATCAGCCCCAGAATGGAATCCTGTGGGACATGATTTCTAATATCTCTGAGTTTGACATGAATGCCATTGATAATGAACTTGTTGTAAGACTACCTACCACAGAGCTGCATTTCTCCAGTGTGTTCGTTGAATGCATTCTTGGAGAAGATAATCAAAAGTCTTTCTGGGGCCAAATAGCTATGGAAAAGTTTAGGGAGAAACTTAGCACACTGACTGCCTGTTTTTCTGCTAGGCACTTTATCTATGTTAATTTAATTAATCCTTCCATAACTCTACAAGGCGGTATAGTATAGTAGTTAACACCATGGTTCCTAAGGTTAGACTGCCTGAGGTTGAATTTGTACTCCATCACTTAGAGCTATCCGATCTTGGCAAGCTATGGAAATTCTCTGTGCTTTAGTTTTACCATCTGAAAAATAAGGAGAATAAAATTCACCTCGGAGGATTTTATTGAAGATTCCATTGCATGTAAAGCACTTAATCAGTGTCTGGCACATAGAGAATCTTCTACAAATCTTAGCTGTTATTATTATTATCCCATATTCAAGTTGAGGAAACTAAGGCTGGTTTGTAGTGGAGCCAAGATTTGAGACCCAGTGGTGTCTGATTCCAATTCGTAAGCTCTTTCTACTCTATTAGGCAGACTTTTACATTTATATCCCATGTATTTTCAAGAGACTGTGAAAATGACCAGAGCAATCAGAAATACACTTGATTTTACCAAAAACTTTATAATTTAAGCCAACCTTTTTTTGGTGGGAGGGTTTATATTTGATTAAAACCTTTTTAAAAGATAAGTTATTTTATGAGAAAAACAATCAACCTAAGTTTAAAATAAAAATCATAAAATCTTAGGTTTGAAAAACTATAGGGATCATCTAATTGAAGCTACTAGCTAATAAGAGACTCCTGGGAGTTTTTTTTCTTCTTACTTTTTTTTCCTAGTTACATAAGTGGTAAGTGCTCAGCATAGAAAACTTGGAAAACCCTGAGAAGCCCAGAGGAGGAAAATCACCCATAATTCAAACACTAATGGTAATCACTATTAATGTTTTCACATATGTACGTTTTAGTGTTATTCTTCCATAAACAAATTTTTTTTTTTTTTTTACAAAATGGCATCACAATATATATGCTACAGGTTTTTTCCACTTAGTAACAGATTATAAGCATTTCCCATGTCATCATTTTATTGATTTTTTAACATCTGTAAACAATGTAAAAAAAATAAGTCATATGAGAGTACCATAATAATCTAATCCCCTATTGTTGGACATTTAGGTTGATTCTATTTTTTTTCCTACTATTATAAATAAAACTGTCATGAAGAGCCTTGTATTATGTTGTTGCATAATTCTCTCATTATGTACAAATCCTTTTTATCCTTAACAGATGGTTAGCCAGCCTCTGTTTGATCACTTCCAGTAACAGGGAGCTCACTTCTTTGCCAGACAGCTCATTCCATTTATGGACAACTCTAATTGTTAGAAAGTTCTTTATTTTTAACCAAAATCTGTTCCCTTTAACTTACACTCATTGATTCTAGTTTTGTGGTTTGGAATTACCCAAAGCAATCTTTCCTTTTTGTACTTGGCAGCCCATCAAATACTTGAAAGAGGCCGTAGTGAAACTCCCTAAGTATTCTCTTCCTGAAGATAATTATCCATGCTTATGAATCTTATGATAAAAAAGGATGAGGAACTGGTAGCAGTAGGGGGTTCCTCATGAAAGCTATACATTTGGTAACATAATATTTCCCTTTCTGCTTTGGCCTACTGGAAGCTCAGAGCCTAATTGGTTGCCCCATCTTTGTAACCGTATAACCTTACCATACACATATATTAGCACTATCTTTGCCCTTAGGTCCGGTAGGTCTATATTTTTCTGGCTATTATATTTCCTTTAAAAAAAGTACTGAAGTGGATTTCTCTAAGCTCTGTACCTCCATGGTACAAGGTATATTAGGATGAAAAAAGTTTCTCTATTTCTTTTAGCCATTCTGTGTATGAAATTAGTTGACATTTGGGTCCCCTCCCACCCTTTAGTATACACACATGTCTTTTACTCCCCAAAGCTACCAGAACAATGGAAGAGTTTTAATTCCCTGCCCCTTCTCTCTGTTGGAGAAGCTTAATGAAATGGGAGAATAGAAGGTCATCTCAATCCTCCTGAATCATTAGTTCCTATCACATTGTCAATATCTCTTCTGTTGTCCAGCAACACCATTTTCTGCTCTTGAAAGAAATTAGAGAATATGTCTTGCTAGCCCTCAGATCACTGATGAACATACGTGTGACACTGCGGAATGGGTAATCCTCCCCACAGTACCTCTGAGAGGACAGTATCGTTATCCTCATTTACCCTAAGAGAGCAGAGGCCCAAGAGGCGAGACTTGAACCCAGGTCCCTCTAACTCTGAATCTGAGAGCCCATCCCGGTCCCTAAAAGGCACGGACTTCAGACGAGCTCCGGACTGAGTCAGGCCACAAGGATTCCACTACCATTGGACAGGAGGCAGGCGACTCTGCATGTTCCTCCTTTCATTCAGGAATCCAGCTCTGATTATCCTCTTCCCACAGAGAGAAGTGTGGTGGCTGCCAGTTGCATATGGCTTGACGAAGATAGGAGAGGACATAAAGGCGGCCCCCCTCCTCTCAGTGCTCCTGGATGAGAATCAAGCAGATTGTTTCCTATTTGGAGGAAGTAGATGTGAGAAACCTAAGGCAGCAGGCAAACCTCAAATGGGTGAGAATAAAAAATACTCCCCCGACCCCCTTGGGAGGTTCTGCCTAGAGGAGCCAGGTGTGAAGGCACCGGGGCTGTCTGCGGGCCAGAGAGCTAGAATGCTTCTGCCCCAGGAGCTTCCTTCCTGAATATCCCCTCCTGAAGGGAGGCTGCGATTGCCTTCGGCCTCCCAGGAAGCCCTCTGCTGCTGGCAGGCTGGCCTGTGTAACAGCTCAGAGTTGAAACCCTCTTAAAAATAGCTCTGTTCCCTTCTGGGTTGAGCAACTCACACTTGAAAAGCTCTTTATTCTTTATAATGAATAGAGAGCAGGGACGTTTCATTGAAAAAGAAGAGCTATAATGCAAAATCAAGGCAGACTGAGGGTAGTTGTTCTTTTGAAGTGGTGGACAGAGAGGCCTTCTGCACTCACGGCTTTCACAGGTATCAACCCTTTCCTTGGATTATTCCTGGAATAGAGGCATGGAGAGGCTTTTGAGCGGCTCTTGCTGTCAAAAGCGTGTGTGTGGCGGGCTGTATTTCAGGTGATGGTGTGAACTAGAGACCAGCAGAGCAGCCTCGAGTTGAAATGTTGATCTAATTAATTGACTGAAGAAGCCCAAGACCTGAAAGGAAGGCGTAACTCTTTGCCATCCAGACCTCTAAGGTTCACGCCCATACCCTGGAAGGAGCGAGAAGGGCTGAAAATAAAAGGATGGGGTGCGAGGCCAAAGAGCTGATGCCTACCTTGGCAGGGAGCATCACCTTTGGATGTGTGCTGGGGAATCTTGTCTGTTGGAGAGGACAGATTCCTCAATGTACACCTTTCCCAGAAAGAAAAAGGAGAAAGAAGTTCAGAGGGAGAAATGAGATAAAACTCTTAGTCTAAAACGTCAAGTTTTATTTCAAAGTAATGTATTATCTTTAAAGCAAACGAAATGTAGCTCTCAGGATCCCACTGAGCCAGCGAACAGCTCTATCTCAGCTATTACTTGGGTCTCCCACTCTATATTCCAGGGTAAACATCTGGGAGGCGTGTGTTGCATTGGAAAGAGGGGCTGGACACCTGAATTAGGGTAATTAAAGCTAGTTATTGGGTAAAAAACTCCAGATCACAGGGTCTTAAGAAGTTCGTCTCTTCCTCACATGAAGTCCAACGTGGATAGTCCCAGTCAGGAAGCCATGCTGGACAGCTTGTGTCAAGTGGTAGCTCAGGGATCCTTCCATAATGGGATCTTCCAATCACCCTCCCGGCTTTGCAATCCTTTGCTTCCTGCCACTCAGACCAGAACGTGATTTAAGGTGATAATGGAGAGCCATGAGGACATCTTTAAAGGCCAGGCCTAAAAGTGGTGCCCATTACTTCAGCCAGACTCAGGCACTTGGCTCTGCTCAAATGCAAGGGGACTGGCAGAGAAGTAGAATTGACCTGTATACCCAGGAAGGACAGGTGAAATCGATATTGATGAAATTTAGCAATCTCTACCAAAATATCCAATATTCAGGCCACGTGATTTTGTTCTGTTGTTCTCTCTGTTCACTGCACAAGGTCCACAGAATCCAGGTGCTCTCTTTCCCTCTTGTGGTCTTGTTACTTCTCCTGGTAAAGGGCATTACAGACACATCAAATCCTAACCCTTCTCTGTCTGGGGAAAATCTCTTTCTCTTTCCTCTCTGATCTTTCTCTCAAACTCCTAGTGTAACCTTCTCAACATGCTCAGCTTTTCCCAGAAGATAGGAAACTAAGTTATACTGAAACAGCTTCAGATTCAGCCAACCAATGGCCCACTATCTTCTTCAAATGAAGGGAGAAGAAAAATAGAGAGAGCACAATACAAATCAATATTTCAATAAACCATCATGCCACCAAATTGCATGAGTTCACTGGCATTCATGAGACATTTGACTCAAGGCCTCTATAAACTTTTAAACTCAAGAACGCCATCTTTTCTTTAGACCTCTTTTACTCCCATCATAACAACAAGAAATCACTTTTTTTTCAGCATCTTTTTCATAAACACGGAACTGGTGTAATCACCATGAGGAGATAAAGAGTACATACAGAACACACATTTGAGATGAGGATGTTGGGCAGATGATTAGGCGGTCACCAGCTGGGCAAACTAATGCCACTTACCATTATGAGAGTGGGCCAGAGCCAGATGGCCAGCAAAGTAGCAAATTGTTACCGACCATGGATCTCTGAATCTCTCATAGACAGTTGACAACTTGGAGTGCCAATTGCTATGGTTTGTTTTAATTTTCTCAAGAGACAAGATCTGGTAGGAGTTCATCTGTTTGGTTTTTATGAATTCGAGTCTCTGGACCTTGGGAATTACATTCCATGGGATTGAAGGAAATCCAAGTGCCATTTGACAGCCTCAGAAATCTTAAAGAATTCGTGGTTCATAGGAGTGGCTACAAAAGAGAAGATATAGAGAAGTAGTTTGATTATCAGAAAGGGGAAAAGTGGGAATCATGGAAAATACAAATGTTTGCCTTGAAGGCTGCTTCATTTTAATACTCATCTAGATTTTACTAAATGGCAGATAATTCATGGTTTTTAAAAGAACATAATAATTGCTACGGACTGAGTGTACCCTCCAAAATTCCTATGTTGAAACTCTAATCCCCAGTGTGATAGTATTAAACTATGGGGCCTTTGGGTGGTAATTAGGTCATGAGGGTACAGCCATCATGATGGAATTAGTGTCCTTGAACAATCAAATGTGGAATGTTGTCTAAAATTGAGCTTTGGGCGCCTGGGTGGCTCAGTCGTTGAGCGTCTGCCTTTGGCTCAGGTCATGATCTCAGGGTCCTGGGATCGAGTCCCATGTCAGGCTCCCTGCTCCGCGGGGGGTCTGCTTCTCCCTCTATCTCTGCCTGCCACTCTGTCTACTTGTGCTCTCTCTATCTCTGTCAAATAAATAAATAAAATCTTTTAAAAGAATAAAAAATAAAATAAATAAAATAAAATTGAGCTTTGTTTGGGGCACCTGGCTGGCTTAGTCGGTAGAGCATGAAACTCTTGATCTCGGGGTCGTGAGTTTGAGCCCCACATTGGGTGTAGAGATTACTTAAAAAGTAAAAACAAACAAACAAAAAAAACCATTTAATTGAGCTTTGTTTGGGAACAGACAGTTCTTAACAAATTGTTCCTACTTATCTAGATTCGGAAGCAATGGATAAATACATGTAGGTATCAACCAAACAGAGAAAAAACCCTAAGTCCCAGTTTTGGGTAAAACTGACAGAAGAACACCACTGTCCCCTAACAATTCCTAATATTTCAACCCTATCTGGTCATGGCATGGGCCACTGCAGGCCTCCCCAGAGGAGACAGCTCAGTGTTTGGTGGAGGAGAAGAGTTTTCTAGAGCAGAGGCAACTTCAAAGAACTCAGAGAGGACTCAGGTAGGCATTTTCAGCGACTTCTCCACAATTCACTAATCACTGATCATGAGTGGAGGTAGAGGAAGTGGATTAGAAGTGGCAGAAGTTATGAACCGGCCTTTTCTGGAAAGGCAAGAGTTCCTAACTGAGCCGCCAAGTCAGGACTGCTCAGAGAGGGCTACTCCTGGCAAACACTCTAGCGAACCGTCTTCTCTTATTGCTGCTGTTTCAGTCAATGCTTTGCCGTTTGGTTCATATGAAGATAGAGAAGGAATGTCTATCTTTTTTGAAGTTGATACCAAAATAGGAAGAAGAGTTGACATGACAAATGATGAAACCACAATTAAAAATTACCTCAACTGAGCTGCAATCAACTAAGCTGGAGTCTCCTAGATATAACTGAATAGCAATAAATATCAAGGCCTTTTGGTAAAAATGCTAAAAAGCAAACTCCATACGCATGCAACTGCTCAGATACAGGGTGGAGACAGGCAGCTTTGACATCAATTTATATAAAAAATGTTCTAGGGGTTTTAATTTATCTGAACTTAATATGACAACTCTTATGTGTCCGCTGAAAATGTTAATGCAGTCTCCATCTGCATTTGTTCAATAAATGATTGCTTAGAGTGTATGCTGTGGAAGGTACTGTGGTGAGTTCTGGGAGTTGGCAGTAACACAGTGTCTGGAGTAATCTGTCCAGTGAAGGGCACATACTTTAAGAGCAGAACTAATGAATTAAAATAGAGCATTGTTGGGTAGAGACTTAGTCCTATTTCTTTAGGTTTCCATGAGGCAAATTTTACTAACCCATGGGAACAATATTTGAGTATTTTATTGGTAAGAATCATTTTACCTGGAAATGACAGAAACACTGATATACCTAGCTTAAACAATAAGGAAATTTAGTTTCTTTTATAATTAAAAACAAAACAAAAAACCAAAGAGAGAGCCAACATGTTACCATTGGAGCTGGAGATCTATTTTTCTGCTCTTCTTTGAACTCTTCCAGCCTCTGTTTTCTTCAGACTGACTCTTCTTGTGGTTAGAAGGTGGCTCCCATCAGTCCTAGAACAAAATGCTTCCTCATTAGAAAATCTCTTTTCCAGGGCACCTGGGTGGCTCAGTCGTTGGGCATCTGCCTTCAGCTCAGGTCATGACCCCAGGGCCCTGGGATGGAGCCCACATCTGGCTCCCTGCTGAGCAGGAAGCCTGCTTCTCCCTCTCCCACTCCCCCTGCTTGTATTCCCTCTCTCGCTGTCTCTCTCTCTGTCAAATAAAAAATTAAAATCTTTAAAAAAGAAAGAAAGGAAGGAAGGAAGGAAGGAAAAGGAAGAAAAAGAAAGAAAGAAAAAAAGAAAGAGAAAGAAAGAAGGAAGAAAGAAAGAAAGAGAAAGAAAGAAAGAAAGAAAAAGAAGGAAGAAAGAAAAGAAGGAAGGAAGAAAGAAAATCTCTTTTCCAACCCTTTGACAAAAGTTCTTATTCAGTCTGATTAGACTAGTTTGGGTTATGTGCCCATCTCTGGTCCAACAGCAGGCTCTAGGATCATACCATGCACTGATTGGCTGAAGCCTAAACTCTGGAGCCAATCACTTACAAGGGGATTACAGGTACTGTGATTGGCTTGAGTTGAGAATAGGGTCAACTTCCTGAGACATTTAGGCAACGTGGGAGGGGGGGGGCTTTTATAAATAACATTGCGTTTATGTTTGAGAGGGAGAAAGTAGTGAGAGTGGGTGGTAGATTGGTAACTGGAGGAGAAGGCTGTCTTACTAGATAGATGGGTTTGTGAGAAGAGAAGCGAGGTAGTTTTCCTTTCTCTTTTAGGAAAACCTCTCTTCTTCTAGTGGTGGAGCTTTTCTTTATGTGGTAATAGCTGTAACTCTTACCCTCAAAACCTTGCACAGTGGTCTAGATTCAATTGTCCTGCTTCTCTGCCTCTGACTATGTCAGATATGTCCAACTAGGTGGGGGTTATGAGGAAGGCTGATTGTAGTCAAGGTCCAAGTTCTACTCTCCATTTTATGTTTACTGGAAATAAAGCTGACCTTTTGATCTTCATCTGTTGGATTCCAGTGTTATTCTCTTTCTAATTTATAATCAGTGGGAGGTGTGATTATCACCCCTATGAACCTTAACAAGTGAGCCTTCAGGAGCAAGCCAGAATCTTGAGGATTCTGAGAATTCTGTCACACAGAGGAAATGTAGATAGAGTACAATATTGAGACATTCAGCTGCCATCAGATATCTAGATATATCTAGATATATCAGATATTTAGAAAGTTCAAAGGGTGTGAATTTTCACAGGAAGAGCTGTGGAGAAGACCGCTCTGCTGGTAATGAGAGCCCTGTCATTGGAAAGATTCACTCACAGACTGGATGACAATCTTTCAAGTATGCTTTAAAATAGAATTCTTGAACACAGTGATTTCTATAGTATAATCCAACTTTTAGTTCTATGTAGTCCTATTTTGTAGATATTGTAGACCTCTGGTCTTCAAAGTGTGATCCTCAGAGCAGCATCAGCATCACCTGGGAAGTTGTGACAAATGCAGATTATCAGGTCCCACCTAGAACTCCTGTTATGGATTGAATTTTGTACCCCCCCCCCTCAAAAAAAAAAGATATGTTGAAGTTTTAACCCCTCGTACACCAGAATGTGAATCAAGGTCATTACAGGTGCAACTAGCTAACTTAGAAATGAAGTTATACTAGAGTAGAGTGGACCCTTAATGCAATATGACTGGTATCCTTTTAAGAAGATGAGACAGACCCAGAGACACAGATACAAGAGGTGAACGCCATATGATAATGGAGGCAGAGGTTGGAGCTATGCAGCTTCAAGCCAAGAATCACCAAAGACTGCCAGTAAACCAGAAACTAGGAGGAGGCAAGGAAGGATTCTTCTTCACCTAAGGAAGTTTCCAGAGGGAGCATGGCCTTGCCAACACCTTGATTTCCAACTTCTAGCTTCCAGAATTGAGAGAAAGAATAGTTTCCTTTTGTCTTAAGTCACCCAGCTTGTGGTAATTTGTTATGGTAGCCCTAGGAAACTAGTATACCTACTGAATCAGAAACTCTCATATTGATGCCCAGCGATCTGTGTTTAATAATTCCCCCAGAGGATTCTGATGCATGCTACAATCTGAGAACCACTGATTTCTATTTTAGCTCTAGACCAGTGCCTCTCACTCTGATACACATGTGAATGAATTGAGGATTTTGTTAAAATGCAGATTCCAACATCGTGGATCTGGGTTAGGGCCTGAGATTCTGCATTTCCAATAAGCTCCCATATGATGCCATATCGCCGGCCCTGGTCTTTGGGTAGCAGAGCCTAGATCAGCACAGTCCAATACAACTTTCTATGATAATAGAAATATTCTATATCTGGGTTGCCCAACAAGAAAATCACCAGCCACATGTAGCTGTCAGACACTTGGAATGTGGCTATTCTGAAAACTGAATTTTTCAGTTTCATTTAATTTTAATTAACTTGAATTTATATAACCACGTGTAGTAGACTGTACAGGTCATCATTTCCTTGTTCCTAGATTTAAATGCCATGTTTTACAAACAGGGCTCTCAACTTTGGTTCATCTGAATTATCCATAATTTAGTAGTTTGGGGCTGGTGGTGGTATGCCCTGTGCAGGACTGTGTGTACTCAACAGTATATTAGGAGCCACCAGAGAGCATAAGGTAGATTAGAGGGTCTTTGCCCTTAAGGAACTTCCTGTTTATAACCAACTCTCATTGTATTTCTACCAGTTTCTGCCAAGCCTGAAAGTGTTAGTTCAGTGCTAAGGGGGTTGCGGGGGGGAGGAGAATTAAGAAATAATTAGAAGAGATGATGCTTGGCAGGGGCTTTTTTATCTCAAGGCTACCAGATTTTGTTCATGGAATTTGAGAACATGAGTGATTTGCATATGTTGCATAAATTTGCATCTTGTATTCAAGAGCCCTGACTCCAAGTCTATGAAGTACAATTTAATTAATTAGTGGAACCTACTAGCGTTGTATTCAGAACAGGATTCAGGGCATAACACACATGGAATAACTAGCAGTTGACAACAATTCTGGAGATTTCAGACCAGCAAAGAGGGTCACAGCTGAAGGGAAGGAAGAGGTACCAGGAGCTTTGTCATCCCTGACCCTGCCTCTTACGCACCTCAAGCCTTTGTGTATTTTCTGGTTTATTTTTCACCAACTGCACAAAGTCAGCTGAAGTTCCACAAATGAATGGAATCATGCCTTTTGTACCAGCTAGTGTCTGTTTCCTTGTTTTTGGTATACCCCACCTCTCTTGCCTTGCTTCTCTGCCTTCAACTGAATTCTGTCTGGGTGTCAACAGATCATTTTAAAAGAGAAAAGAGAGGATGCTAGGCCCTGGGGGTAGAAAGTTAAATAACATGGGGTCCTTGCCAGGAAGGAGCTCCACACTGCAGCAGGGGAGGTGGATATATGAGCAGTAACTACCATACTGTGTGTAAAGAGAAATGATGAAGCCATGTTTTAGGAGGAGGAGGGTGCACAGGAGACAGAGATAAACTCTGCTCCTGTGAAGGGTGGGAGGAAAGTCTTCACACAGGAGGAGCTTAAAGAGAAGGACTGTGGGTGGGGTAGTGGATTCCAGGCAGAGAGAACAGCACCGTTGTGTTTAGCAAACTGTAATTATCGCTACATGTGAAGGAGAGGAGGGAGGTCGGGGAGAGGTACAGAATCCAGACCGGCCTATAAGTGCTTTATTAACTTGCTTTCAAGAGGAAGGGGGATGTAGGTAAAATAGAGCATGTTAGTCCACCTCACCTAGGAATGAAAACATACCAGAAATCCAAACAGAAAGGCTACAAGGTCTTTCCCCTAGGAACAACGTCATCCCCTCCTAGCATCTCCTGACCCATGTTTGCTGTAAATCTGCCCTAACATTTCCTGCATATGCCCCTTTCTAGGAGAATCTGAGTTCCTTTATGACCCAAGTTCACTAGGAATAAGCACCCATGCAAAATAAGCTCTGTTTGCTGCACATAATCTAAAAACACTGCCCTGTGTGCCGGGTGGCTTGTGGGGGTCGGTTAGACGGAGTTGAAGTGAAGGGTCATCTGGGAATGATCATGCTAACCTGCTAACCACCTGAAGATTTCCCTCAGATTATCTCACCTCTTCCTTGGGTTGGTATTTATTCCCTCTTTGTCTTGGAACTTCAGAATCAAATGTGGCACCTGTGTGCAGCCTCAGAGATACTACAGATTCATCTGGACCCTCCCCACCCCCACCCCCACCCCCACCCCCACCCACCCCAGTGGCCAAATCTGAAGGCCACAGATCTCCCGTCGCTGCTGAACCAGCAAAATGGCACAAGGAGAGAGACTAAGGCTGGTGCCTCCCTATCTCGCCAATGTAAGGCTGCTCTATGAGAAGACTGGCTTCCGTATCTCATTGATTTACTAAATGTTTCCGAAAAACACAAAGTATAAAATATAAATTAACTAACAGTAGTATACCTGCCCCCCTGTTTAAGAAATAAAACATTTTAAGATCAGCTGAAGCCTTTGTGTATCACTCCCCACAACACATTCTGACCCTTCTTCTCGAGAAGTAATCACTATCCTGAATGTGGTGTTTATCATACCCAATACTGTCTTTATATGGTTATCCTGGTACATTGTGTTGTTTTAAGTATTTTGCTATTTATAAAAATGTTATTTCAATGGTATCCTGGTAAATTTTTTTTTTCATTTTTTTAAGATTTTTATTTATTTATTTGACAGAGAGAAACACAGCGAGAGAGGGAACACAAGCAGGGGGAGCAGGAGAGGGAGAAGCAGGCCTCCCGCCGAGCACGGAGCCCAACGTGGGGCTTGATCCCAGGACCCTGGGATCATGACCTGAGCCGAAGGCAGACGCTTAACGACTGAGCCACCCAGGTGCCCCTATCCTGGTAAATGTTTAACAGACAACTGGATCGCCAAGGAGGCGGGAAAAAAATTTAAAATAAAAGACCTGATTTAAAGCAGCTGCCGATTACAACGGTGTAAATATTCCCACCATAGCCAATTTCAAGCTGCACCTGATGTCATTTGGGAACAAGGAATTGGGAAGAGATGAGCCCAATAGGTATGAGCCAGCTCCAGCACGCCACTGATTTGTTACACTGCTCTGTATGTCCAGCAACTTGATTCTTTCCCCTCATCATTATTATATTTGAGGTTTACTCTTGTCGATACATGTATTTCTAGGATTTTTCACCTCTAGTGCCATATAGGATTGATGTTTGTATAAATGCACTAAAATTGATTGTCCCTTTTGATGGACATTTAGGTTGCTCCCATTTTTGACCTTTAAAAACAATGCTGTAAGAATCATTTCTGAATGTATTTCGTGGTGCATTGTACAAAAGACTCCAAATCTCAGAAATAGAATTTCTTGGTCTTGGTTATGCATGTTTCAACATGACTAGATTTTACCTGATTTTTCTCCTTGGATTTACTCTGCCACGACAGTGTATCAGAGTCTCATTACCCTCATCCTCTCCTACTCTTAGTTTTGACAGATGTTATGGGCTGAATTGGATCCCCCTAAAAGCCATATGTCAAGCCCCAACCCCCAGTGTCACAGTATTTGGAGAAGGAAATTAAGGTCAAATGAGATCATGAGGGTGAGGCCCTAATCTGATAAAACTGATGTTCTTATATGAAGAGGAAGAGACACCAGAGTGCTCTCTCTCCACCCATGCACAGAGGAAAAGCCCTGCGGAAACACAGCAAGAAGATGGCCATCTACAAGGCCAGAGAGCACTCACCAGAAACCAGATTCACTGACACCTTGATCATGGACGTTTAGCTGACACAACTGTGAGAAAGTAAATGTCCGTAGTGTAAATCACCCAGTCTGTGGTATTTTGTTATGGCAGCCCAAGCAGACTAATACAGAAGACTTTAATTTTTGCCTTAAAACAGATGCAGTTTTTCTTTGTTTTATTTATTTTTTATTTTTTAAAGATTTTATTTATTTATTTGAGAGAGAGAGAGTGAGCGAGAGAGAGGGAACAAGCCAGGGGAGGGGCAGAGGGAGAGAGAGAAGCAGGCTCCCCACTGAGCAGGGAGCCTGACCTGGGGCTCGATCCCAGGACCCTGGGATCATGATCCTGAGATCATGACCTGAGCTGAAGGCAGACGCTTAACCGACTGAGCCACCCAGGCGCCCCTTTGTTTTATTTTTAGAAACCGTTTCCTCCTAATCAAACCTCAACTCTTACCTAATTTGAAAAAACTCACAAACTGGCCTCTCCCTTAATAATCTACCTATTTACTTCATCCCCACTTGCTCCCTTTGCTCCCTTTGCTCCACCTAGGCTGATTTTCTCAGATTCCTCAAACATACCATGCTCATTCTCATCTCTGGACCTTGTCCAGAATACTCTGCCTTCTTCCCAGAGGATATCCAAATCCTACCCAATTTTAAATACATAATTCAAATCCCACTCTTTAGGAGTTAGGACTCTTGGTTCAAATGGAAGAAAATCCAAACCAG